CGGGTGAAAGTTTGAACGAGCAAGGAGAACAAAATTCATCGGGTTCACAAGAATATTCACCGGAACTCTGAGAGTGGAGATGAGATCAAGGTCCTCACTCCTCCTTCTCGCCTCGCCACCCCAACCCCCCCCCCCTTTCCCTTCTCCTCCCTCTCCCCCCTCTCCTCATCCCTCTCCCTCTTCTCCTCTTCCTCCTTCTCCTCCTCCTCCTCCTTCTACCCCTCCCTGTCCCTCCCTTCTTCCTCCTCCGCCGGCGCCTCATCTCTCTCTGTTCGAGCTAATCTGAATTTTTCCCACATGTCCATGTCGAAATTCGTCTCATTTCCGTGCTTGACCTTTAAAAATCCTGACATGCCGATGGTGCAGGTTCTTGGACCACGTCACAATCCTTTACATGTAAGTTGACAACATTCAAGCGAGATCATCGAGTCCACACCATAACCATCAGTCACAAAACTTTATTCTAGTCCCATCACACACACATATCTATCTGTTTGTGAACACAGTCATTGATTGGTCATGTCTGACCTTACCCTGCAGGAAGATGACCAACACGTCTCAACGGCACAAGTTCGAGCACTTTACATCCTGATGGGTCGGGACTTGTTGAATGTTCAGTCTGTTCCTGCAGGGTAAGCCAACTCGCTCCACTTTCTTCTTTCTTCTGTATCCAACTCCTTTACAAGCACCATCTCTTGATTTTGCTTCTCTTCCTCCTTTCTTCTAGTATTACATCAGTTCGTGCTATGATTTCTGTCAGTCTCGTCTATGCTATTCCCATCTGACCCAGTAGCTCCTCCTCCTCCTCCCACTCCTCTTCTTTCTCTTTCTCTTCTGCTTCCTCTTTCTCCTTGTCTTCTTCCTCCTCCTCACGACATTGCTCGTAGGTGTATCTGCGGTGTATGGGGCCTCGAGGAGCACGTTCTCAAGTACGCAACGCTGTGCTCAACTCGCAGTTGCCGCCCTCTCAGCTTTATGTCGTTCCAGGTCTTCTCCTTACAATCATTCTCCTCTTCACCTTTCAGCTTTTCCCATTACATTCCTGCTGACATCCGTGCTTCCGCTTTCTTCTATTCCTTGCTTTCCATTCACCTCCTTCTGCTGCCTTGAAATCACTAGCAGCTACTGTTGGATCTTTCCTCCTTTTCAAATACTTTCCCTCCCACGCTTCTCCTTCCTCCTTTGCCCTCTGATCTCCCTATCAGGCCATGCCGATCGTAAGGGTGGCGGTGGAGCCGTCGAATCCTCTGCAACATGACTTGTTGGTCCACGGCCTGCAGGTCCAGTGCAGCTTCAACTACGTCTTGCCTGACATGCCTTGCAGCTGCTCAACAGAGCTGATCCATCAGTGGAAGTGAAAATACAGGTTGCCTTTCCTCCCCCTCTTCTTCTTCACCTCCTCCTTCCTCCAACTCTTTCTTTTTCTTTTCCTCTTCTTGTTCGTTCTTTCCACCATTCTCAATACCATCATCGCCATTGTCATTGTCGTCATTGTGATCGTCGTCATATGCTGCTGCTGCTGAATCTCCATCATCATATTTGACATCTTCATACCGTCCACGTTTTCATCATCTTAGCCCATGCATACTCCACACTTTCTCTACACGTGCACGTCCTTCCCTCCTTTCCTCTTCGCCCATCTGCACTCTCCGATGCTCCTTCCTCCACTTCGCATCTGGGTGTGATGTGGAGCTGCAGGAGACAGGAGAGCACGTGATCTTGGCTTCGGGGGAGATGCATCTAGAGCGATGCCTCAAGGTACTGGACTTGCTACCTCCGCTCCTTCCTACCATGACGAGCAACAGGATCTCCGGGAGCTGTTCGCCAAGATTGACATCCACGTCTCTGCTCCTCTGGTCCAGTTCAAGGAGACGCTGATAGACAAGAAGTCGTATCCCGAGATGTACTCAGAGGAAGATGTGAGATCGCGCGCTGCTCTGCCTTGTCGTGATGTCCTTGTAGGCTCCCCGTCCTCATCCTCGCAATCCTGTCACCTCCTCCACAGCTAACAGGCTCTGCGACTTCTCCGTACGGGCCCTTCCTCTCCCCCGCAGCATTCGCAGGTTCCTTGTGCTGAGAGGGGAGGAGCTCAGGGCCGCACATGCCGACCTGCTGGCTGGCAAGGCAATGAATGAGGAGACGAGGGAGCTCCTCAAGACGCTCCGAGGTGCTCCAGGGCAGCCGATGCAAACGATGCTGACGACCAGCAGATGTTTTCATGCAGGCTGAGGATGGCTGGGAGGAGGAGTGGAAGTGCCTGTGGGCGTTGGGACCGAAACATGTCGGGCCGAACATCCTGCTCTGCCATGTCGAAGGGTTCCATCCATCTGCCGACTGGATACCCCCCGAGTTCTTCGATCCCAAGGAGCATCCGCCAGGGGACGAGGAGCGGCTGAAACTTCTGTCGGAGATGGAGAGCAGCGCTGTGACTGGTGTTTGCCTCATCTGCCTCCTCTACCCCTCCTGCTCTCATTCCTGCTCTCACCTCCTACCTGTTCTTGGCTGTCCTGCTGACCCACACACTCCTATCCCGGCCTTCTCATTTCGCGCACCCTCAGGCTTTCAGATCTGTTCTCTTGCGGGCCCACTGTGCGAGGAGCCGATGGAGGTTCTTGTAGCCGACAGTCTTGACGACACTGAGGTTCATGCAGGGAGTTGCTTTCGTAGTGGAAGCGATCAACCTCAATGGAGGGGCCCAAGAGATTGCAGCGAGCACAGACGTTTACGGGCCATGGTCTGGACAGGTACGAATGTTCTAGCCCATTGCATCTTTGGAACCCCCCCGGCCTTCCTTATCTTGTTGCTCCTCTTCTCTCAACTTTATCCTCGTTTCGTTGAAATGCTGACATGTGGGACAGGTGATCTCTGCAATGAGAGAGGCTTGTAGAAACGCGTTCCTTATGGGAGAGAGGAGGTGAGGGTGACTTTTATTTCTTCAATCTCAACATATTTTGCAGGTTGGTAGAGGCGTTATTTGATTGTGATGTCCAAACAACGGCAGACATGTTGGGGAAGGTGTTGATGTTGATTGTTTCAAGCTCTTGAGTTACTTCTTTGCCATTAGGCTTATGCCGTGTTGAACAAGAGAAGGGCAAAAGTGGTGGAAGAAAGGATGAAGGTTTTGAGCACGCGGTAGCCATTGTTATTCACATCTTCTTAGGATGGAACGGACATCTTTGTGATAGAGGCGAAGCTGCCAGTGGTAGAGAGGTGAGGCGTGGGATATCTTTAGCCATGGATGATGTGCCAGTAGTTTCGGTCTGGTCGACGAGCTCCGCAAGAACACATCAGGGTCAGCGCAATGTCAGGTGCAGCATTGATTGTGTTCAGCTTCTCTTCCTCATTGATTGCAGCTCGTCATGGCTGGTTGGGAAGTCATGCCGTTTGATCCTTTCTGGGAGGTCTGCTTGTGTAGTGCGATGGAGAATTTCGTCTGTGATGAATTCAATCAGCCCAACACAGAGGAAGAGCTAGAAGATTCAGACCTCTCAGACGTTATGAATGCTCGTGGGGCGGCAAGAAAGTGAAACATTTGCAGCCTTCATGGTGCTGGGTTGAGATGGTGAACAGGTGTATGGATCTTGTCCGCAAGAGGAAAGGGCTGCCAGTAGAAGAAAAGCTTGTTCAGCATGCAGAGAAACAGGTGAATATCTATGCTTTTGACAGGAATCTATCCGTTGAAGTAGATGCAGAGAACAAGATCTCGTCGAAAGTGAGTGCTACGTATCAGCAATCTCTCATTTGTGATCAAGTCATAAACCGTTGCCTCGTCCTCGTATTCGAATCCATCCAGCATGTGACTAGAGTCAGAGGCTGACGTCGTTTGACCGTGTCTCACAAGTCAAGCTTGATGTTGTCATCATGTACTCGTACAAGGCGGCCAGGCCGGCAATCTACGGCATCCACGAACGCGCCTCAGAAGTACTCATTAGCACATTGAGAAAGACAGCAAAAGTGTAAATAAAATGAGGGCATCTGAGGTTGGCTTGCTGGTTCCTACTGGCAGTTGTTCTTCCAATGTTGGTAGTGGCCGATCAACGAGGTTGTGCGAAGACAAGGAGATGAAGAAAGAAAGCAGTCAAGACATGAAACTCCCCAAGATCGCCAAGGTGACATCCATGCTTTCTGCTGCCCTCCTTGCCTTGTAATTGAGACCTCAGGTCGGGTCTAAGAACCCAAAGATAATGTTCTCCCCTTGCAGTCCGGCTGAGGTGGTTGTACTGCCCTAGAGCCCTTGGTGAGAACTGCTGCAGGTGATCGAGATGGCAGAGTTTCTTGGAGTAGATTGGACCAAAGAGTTCTACCTGCTCCCTATAGTGCGCAAGGCCATCGTTGCTCCTTTCCCCGTGGATTGGGAGATCTCTAGAGACCAATATGGGAAAGTGTATTACCACAACAAACTGACATACAAAGTGATCTCGAAGCATCCCTTCCATGATACGTTCCTAGAGTGAGTAGATCTAAAATCCATGGTGCCTTTGACGATCAATGCAATGAAGAGCTATAGAGGATGCGCGAAAGAGTCACCAGAACGATCTGAATGCGATTGAGGACGAAGTATGTTGAGCTCTCGTCAGACTCAGGTTGACTTGAAGAACAGGAAGTGACGGACTTCACGACGATTGCCATCAATGGCAGTCCCTGGATGAGATTCACGACACTCGATGAAGATTCTTCTTTCTGGTTCAACTTCGAAACTAAGACCCTCCACACTGATGCGCAGTAACCACTTGTTGACATGTGGTTTCCTTGCTTCTAAACGTGCGTTGCTCAAGGTACAAGATTCTTTGTGAAATCGAAACAACAAAGAAGATCGAAAAAGAGAAAGAGAAGCACAATCCTTCAAAACTAGAGAAGATGCAGAAGGAACTGAAGACCAAGAAAGCTCTGCAGATGGCCCTGTCTTCAGGGCTGAGAGCGTTCTGGCTGAGATGGCAAGTGCATATCATGGAGCTTCGTAACAAACAAGCAACAGCATTGCTGAAAGCTGGTCTGATAGAAGGGAGACAGGAGGCCAAGGGTTTCAGACAGTGGAAGGAGAAGAGTGAGCAACTGTCATTTGTGAGAAGAGCGCTTGCTCCACTTGGTGGTAGACGAGACAAAGCCATCAGAAGAGACGCTTTTCGAGGATGGCATGAAGTCGTTCTTGCAGAGGTGGAGGAGAAGAAAGACAGAGAGTTCTTGCTCTCAATCATATCTTCTTGGAAAGAAAAGGTAGGGTCCCAATATCATGGTATTTTTGTGACATTTTTTCAGTCAAAAACTACATCTCATCTCAATAATGTGAAAAAGATTATTCAGAATTTGCTTACTTCGAACAGCATTTCTCTAAATTTTGGTGAATGGCGAGAGTTGGCAAGAGAGTCCAAATCACTAAGAATACACATCATGAGTGAAGCCTGTATCAAGATCCAACGACAGTACCGGGCGAGAAGAGCAACAAAAGATGCGGCAAAAGAGAGTGTAAATCTAAGAAAGCAAATGAAGTGCGTCCTTCCATTGGTTGCGGAAAAATTCTAATGATTTGCAGGTATCGACTGTTGAGAATCGGAAACACATCAGAAGAAGAAATTCCAGGGAGGTCAGAACAAAGCATGAAGCAGAGTAGTGACGACGAAGGCGAGGGTGGATCATTGCTTCTGCACTTGCTTGAGGGAGCCATGCACAAGACTGAAGAGGAGCAAGAAAAAGTTCGACTTAAAAAGGTTTTGAAAGACATGGATGTATAGTCGTGGCTGAATGTTACTTCAGATTGCAAAGGAGGCAAGAACGAAAGCCTCATTAGAACCTTCAGAAGATGGGTTCGGACTTGCAAGTGTTAAGAATGATATCAATCGAATAGCGGAACTTCTGGACCCCACAGGTCGAGACGAGTTTTTGAAGAGCAATCAAGCCATTCCAGCAGAAGAAAGCTACAAAACACTGAATGATTCTATCAATACTTTATTCGACAAATTTGTTAACGTACAAAACAACAACAGAGGCATCATGCAAGAGATTGCGGCAGACCTTTTAGATAGTCAAGAAGGTGAGAACCTTGCCATGGTTGCGACGCGCGCAAAGCAACATTTAGATAAGGTGGCACTCCCTTGCATTCCTGTACTTCTACTGATGAAATTACCAGCAATCAAATCCTTCAGATATGCGCTCAAGTATGAATGCAATTAGCCATGCGAATGATCTCCAACAACTCAGCAATTCTCTGGAAAAGTTTGTTTCCATGATTGAGAACAGAGACAGCAAGTCTTCTTGGTGAGTTGCTGAAAATAAATGTATAGAACCTTCCAGCTCTTGGAGATTGGAGATTCTCGAATCAAGCACAAACCGTAGGAATGATACATACATCGGTGAGTGAAGAGAAATAATCTCCAACTAGGTCAGGGTTTGCAAATCTGAACAGATTAATTGTCATCTGAAATCTCGTGCTTAACATGGTAGCCGAGTAATTTGCATCCATATGATACAGCGGCCCGATATTGAGGATGGTGTAATTTCTCAATTCGTCAGGAGCTTTCAGATAAGGCATATTTGCAGCCCACATCTGTAGCCAATTGGCTTTCAATTCATACGCGACGTTTTTCAAAGTGTCTCGAGGTAAAACACAAAATTTGCACTTGACAATGAGAACCCTGGCGCAATAGTTCACATAGTTGACCGATGTAGCTCCAATGTCAGCGATGTCCAGGCAAAGATCGATCAACGACCCTGAAATCGACTGAGGAGGTCTCCAGCACAATGTTTGCCAGAGCTCAGACCCTCTAGGTTGTAGATTAGTTCCCAGAGGAATTATCCAATTTGTTCTCCATTTTGCTACTGGAAAATAAAAATTTCTCTCATATCCTGCAGCGAAATCATCATGATATCTGATGTAAGACAGGTTATTATTGTTTTGATCTTGCATGTAGATGTGCCAGCAATATTCGCATCGAATGTAAAGATTTGTCAGATTTCCGGTCCCAGAAGCGACAAAGTCCAGATAGTAAGAAGACATCGGAGCAAGAGGGACGACTGTCTCAATATAGGGAAGAGGATTCAAGACCTGAATTTTGATGGTGTACGAATTTGAAGATAGCATTGAGCCATACAACTGGCCACTGCTCTCAGCCAGGAAATTGAGTGTGTAGAGAAGTCCAAGACCAGGTATACCGGTTGGACTCACACTGTCAGATTGTTCATTTGGCTGAAATGTGAACTTGCCAATGTAAACTTGATAACACAACCCCTCGCTCAGACATACATCGAACGAGCCATCCATTGCCAGCTGCGCGCCATTTGGCAATCCAGAGTCACGTAGGGTTATTGCATAGACCACATCACCTGTTCCGTTTAGATTGTTGTTCATATCATAGAAATAAAGGTATCCGACAAAGTTCTGACCGATGGCAACAGAAGTGCTGGTTACAGAGCCATTGTATCCAAACAAAGGACTTGTCAAGTTGGAAAAGTTAGCAGTTGTATACATTTTAGGAGCTACATCGATGATTATTGCCCAACAACGGAAATTTTGTGGTGATGTGGTGATTGTTTCTCCGAGACTCACGCAGATTGAGTAGAATGGATTCCAGATGTCGAGCTTGCTGGAAAGCTCTTGCTGGTCCGAAAGCTCAAAAGAAAACGAGATGTTATCGTTTGATGTCCTGACAACAGCGCCAGTTGAGATATTTGGTGTATTGGTGTACTGACTCCATACTGACCATCGCGTGCAGGTCGTCAGAGGATCATCGGTGCACTGATTCAGATCTCTCTCGGTGTCGGCTGTCCTGACAGGTGTTGAGGATTCAAACCAACCCAATGGACGTTCCGGATGATCGCTCTCCGGCCCAATGTAGCTACCAAGACTCACAAGATAGAGTTGATTCCTCTGTTGTCCTTTTAAGTAAGTGACGGAAGTATACTGTTGCGAAGAAGGTGAAAATAGTATGTCGATAGAATATCCATTCGGAGGAAATGTATATTTTTGTCCTGGCGTATACTTGAAAATCATACCGTCGGGCGGTGTTGTACTGCTAAAGCTATTTGTGCATTCAGTCCTTCCGCAACCTGTTCATCGTAAGTCAACAAGACACTTCATTCGCATCGGTGAAATCTTACATGATCCGAGGATGAGAACTATCACGCTATACCCACCGAGACTTGGCATGCTCCTCCTCCACGTGCGCCTTGTGCCATATGCTTCCAACCCCTCGTCCTCCCTTGCCGCTGTTCTATCGGCCCGCATGGTGACCGGTTGCCGTGAGGAGGCGCGGAGATTTCACTTTTTACTTATTTTTTGGGAAACAACTAAGGACTCCAGTCTGCCTCGGGATAAAATATAAACATGTTCCAAGACATCACTCTTACCCCACGTATGTGGTCTCTCCGCTGTCTTTTTGTAGAGTAAAATTTATGAATCAGAGGAGCGGCGGCGCGTGGGGATGGCGTTGATGGCTGTGAGGAGAGGGGGCTGGAGGGAGGGTTGGAAGATGATGGTGGAGACGAGGACAAGGCTGATCAGTCACACTGTTCCTTCTCCTCTTGCTCTCTCGCTAGCATCCTCATCGAGGGGGATGGTGATGTCTAACGGAGCAGCTGCAAGCTCTTGGATGCACCTTCAAAAGCAATTCTCAGCGTCTCCTGCCTTTTGTGGGCGATCACCTTTTGGGACTTTTTCTCCGTTTTCTGTCTTTGCAACATCTGCAATGCAGCTTGAGAAGGCTTCTGTGAGCCAGCCACATGGCGAGCGACGTAGCTTCTCCACGACTTCTGTGAAGCACAAGCTGGATGATTTCTTCACTTCCATGCCTGCTGTAGACGAAGATGGAAATCCAATTTACCCGGCAGTTGGTATGGAATATCACTTCAGGGTGCGTGTATGGTTCATAACGTTGTAAAAGGCAGGTCATGGCGGGCTGAAGAATTGAGGCAGAAGTCGTTCGAAGATCTCCACAAAATGTGCGTCTTTGATCAAAATTTGAATTCAAGAGCCTGATCAAGTTGTTTGCATTCATTTGCTGGATCAGATGGTGGCTCTGTCTGAAGGAGAGAAATAGCTTGGCCCTGGAGAGGCACGAGGCAAGGGCAAGAGGGGTAACTCCACTAAACCCATCTAGATTCAGGAAGGTAAGTTATCTATTTTTGTTTCTGGTTTACAAGAATGAGGCAACACATTCATTGAATCCCTTATAGTTGAGAAAGACCATGGCAAGAATTCGAGTTGTTCTTGGTGAAAGGAGCAGGATGAAACTGATGTTGAAGAAGTACTGCAAACGTCATGTATATACTTTTGATGAAAATGGGTTACGAGGAAAGGCTCATGCGCAATGTCCAGGGTATTGAAGCGATGTCAAACGAAGACCTTCGGAAATTCATTGACGATTTGAAGGTCATCTCCAATGTGGTTCCTTCGTGCACGAACTGACAGGTTCTTTCTCAGTGATTCCATTTCAACGAAATTACTGGAACGCCATTGAAGGATTCATGATTAGTCCAATAGTTTGCAAAGATTATATCATACGAGGCTGATTGGTCGTTGAGTATATTTCATCTCAGAAGGGTTGTTAGCATATGTGAAGCGACAGACAACTTGCTTGATGCATAATTTGTTACACTGGATTAAGGCTTTTGATCTACCGTCTTACCGTCGAATGTTAAAACGTCACTTGTTCCAGGCTGTTCCAGTTGTATGACATAGAGCTGGTGCATATTATCGCAAGGGACAGGAGACTGTCACAATCAAACCTGTATCGCAAAGTAGGCGATGATGCTGAAAACACACTCCACGGCATAGAGAGTGACAGTGTAGAAGAGTGCCTCCGGGTACCTTTCACAACATTAGTGTGGCTTACACATCAATATGCGATTACTCATGAAGGTGTACAAACACAATCTCGCAGGCTGTGTAAACAACCCACCATACACTTGCAGATGCCAAACATAGGCGGATCTGCGTGAGCATGAGCACCTTGAAAGTTGCACGTGAAAGATTCCACCTCAGCTTCTTCCGATAAGAAGGTAATATAGTCTTCTATCAGACGTTGCATTGCAGATGGTCCTGTACTGACTCAGATGGTCAATGAAATCGAAACGATGTATCACCGAGCGAGACAAATGACAGGAAGCCATAGATGCACAAAAAGAAGAAGCTAGCCTGCAGATGCTCAATTCCCCCGGGAAACCTCCAATTTTTCAATCCACCCAATATTGTTTGAGTCTGTGTTCTAGTATTATCTGCACAATGTTATCAGATAATTTTTTTCACAGTTTAGTTAATGTCTACTTCCACTGGAGGAGGAATCACAGAAGCCGGGGACATGGGGAGACTGTACCACGCATCCTGGTAGGTAGATTTGCACTTTCCTGTATCATCGCTAAATGACTGGACAAGATAAAGTGGGATGTCGCTGAAAGATACCTAATCGCTTCGCTGCAAGTGAATCTGCTGATCCTAGGATGCCGTGGAGAAAGCCTACGTCCACACATCAAGGATGATTCCTGTCATATCAAAGCACCTGTCTGCTCAGAAAATTCTCCCATAATTGCAACCAAAAAAGACAACAGCTGTGGAGCGATAAGCTACTCCCTTCTCTGAGATTAGATATAAATTCGAACCGTACAGAGGATTGCACAGTCTGAACAGGCAAGGTTGCGAAGATATCTGTAAAAGAAACTAAAAGCAGACGCAGGCAAGTCAGAAGAATTGCATATGGTCAGTTGCATTACGTGTCTGGCGGAGCCTTGACTTCGTCACGAATTCTATTCTCACCTTCAACACACAAGCAGTTTCGCTGACATCAACGCACCTGTACTGGAAGTCGCACATCGGACAATGAGTGTATCCTCTTTCTCCTATCTTAACAGCTCTCCACTTTCGTAGACATTCTTGATGCTTCAGACGCAAGAATAAATACCCTTGAAGCCCGATACTCATAGATTTTTCTCACCACAAATCGCATACTGCCATTGCACTTGCAGGGAGCAAAAAGTCCCTCTGGATCTTCCTGACCCTCAGTCAGCAGAAGGGAGGATCGAACAAATCAATATCACTTCGTAACAGATTCTACACATCGGGCGCCAATTTCCCTCCAACTGCTCTTAAGCCGTCAATTCGTTCACCACTGTCAACGAGCAAAGTTGCATTGTACCTCGGCTTCGTTCTGAGCCTTAGCCTAGTCAATCAGTCCAATAGGGATGAAAAACAAATGTCAAGGGGCAGTGCATAAGGGATACAAGAAGGTGACTACATTTTTCAGAAGAGCATCTTCTTGTTCGCTCAACTTTTCAGATTTGGACAGCAAGCCCCCTGACAGGCCTCCTCGCAATGCCCAAGAGGTTGACTGCTGTCTTCGCTGAAATCATACGTCCGTATCAGCAACAAGAAAGAGACAATCTCTGCTTGCTGAACATACGTGCGTTTGCAGAAAGTACTTCACCGCATTGTTCCGCAAACATCGAGGTTTCGAAGGAGACTCGGCGGTTTCCATCTTGGGATTTTGTACAAGAGCAAGTCCACCATGAAGAACTACGTTGAAGAACAGTAGAGCTTTGTACATGTTCATGATTGTACAGGATGGCAGTTTCTCGAAGTCAAAAATCTGCTAATAAGTCGATGTGCGACGGAAACGAAAGACACGCACTTGAGGAGTATGAGGTACTACAACAACTTTTGAGCTGTAATCGAGTGGAAAGATCGAGGTGTATCATGAGAGATCGCAGCCTATCAGTCTCCTTGCGGCAATTTCCATTTCCTTGCACTCATTCATCCCTTCCCTACTGTCTCTCCCGCAAGCTGCAGGCGCTCTTCGCTGGACATGACCCCCAGCCTCCTCTGGCATCGTACCGATGCGTGATGTATGAGCCACACTATTGCCGGCTGGTCGGGGCCGCCGGCCGGGGCCCGGGCCGCCGTCACTGACCGTGAACGTTTCATCGATGTAACGCCTCATCCGACAACGGACGCTGAAATGACCCCTGAGAGTTCCAGAAATGGGGTCCAGAAAGAACCCACTACCCATCATTTTGATTGATATAGCACCGGTTGCTGTGACACCGGATCAATCCCCACTACCACCCGGTTCACACCCCGAATACAACCGTAGGCCCTATCCGAACATGGCGCGCAGAGAGTATATCTCGCCGCTCTAACTATAAGCAATGCAGCGGTGTTGTTCATCTTGTATATTTTCTTGCATGGTTTTACCTTGGATATCCTTTCCTCGTATTGTGCGACTGTTTGAGCCCTTCTTTACTGAGCGGCGCCCTATGCTCAGTACGTATTATTGAATGAATTGTGCAATATCAATCGTGACTGTGGAACCTCTGTTATTTGTATCTGTGCTTGCAAGCTTGCAAGACTTGTGTCCTTGGTATCTTGTACCTTGATTATGCCTTTTTTGACAAAAAAAACTTATATTGTCGATTTCCCAATTGTAAAGATTTGTTTCTTTTCAGATTCTAGGTCATGATGAAATAAGTTTCCGTCGATACAGTTGATCACAGCAGCATTACTAACCAGTTGATGAGTTCGTTCACCTTTCCTTCAAGTTTTCGTGTTTCTTTATTATTTCTTCTGATTGCATACGGACGAAACACAATACAATGTCCAACAACTATTTCGGTAAGAAATTTCTTGTTCTTATGGAGTTAGCCCGTTGAACTGCAAGCAGGATGAAGGCCTCGTTGCTTCGGGTTATGCAATCTCGACCTCTGACCTTCTGATATCCTCCTCCGCACAGAAAACTCAAGGGGTGTTGAGTCTCTCACAATTCAACTTCTCCTCCCCTGAGGTTTGATAACTTGATGCCTCAGATCAATCTTACTGAGCGTGTTGCAGTACGCTGGTGAAGCTTTAGCTTCTGGGAAGATTTCTGTCACTGTGACCTGTGCACACGTTTCAAACTCTGGTTGCACAGGTGCATCAACGGTGAATTCGACTTGTCTTGGATGCGCAGGGACAGTTTCTGTAAGTGTTTCTGGTTCTGGAGCATACGTTTCTAGTGGAAATTGTTCTGGCTGCTCCTGTTCCGATGCCGGAGTGGTTTCGACTCCTGCTACAACATACAACGTGAGCTACAACTCTTCGATGGATAATTGCTCAGCTGCAGATTGCAGCTGTGATGCAAACGGTGTTGCATCTGGAAATTGTGGCTGCGCTTGTATACCAACAGTGTGTTCATGTCAGTGTACACAAAATTCCTGTGGACACACTGTATCAAGCGATTCAAAAACTTTCACTGCAACAGGCGGTGGAACATGTCAAGTTTCCGCAAGTTGTTCTGCTGGCTTTTATGACGGAGCGACATACACCGGTTATAATTCAGTGAGTCCATCTTTGTTGCGAAGCTCACAAGTACTTCCGGGGACGTATCTTCAAAATACAGTTCCTACCGCGTCATCAGGTCAATTGTATTTCAGTTCGTTGACGGTTTACAATACCATAGCTAAATCAAGCATTCTATCTATCGTTTTTGCCGCTGGATCCTCTGGAATCAATGTATCGTCCAGCTCGTTTGAGTGTTGGCCATACTACTTTTCAGTCAAGCAGTACTCGGATTCCTCGAAAAACTACCTCACTTCTCAACAATTTACGACGGATCAAAGTGCAAATCTCGGTAATTATATGGTCATCTTGCTCGATAAGCAAAGTAATACCATTGATACTGTCTATGAAAGCGATGCGTTTACTGCTCAATTTTCGCTTGTGACTGGGGATGGATTTGATTCCTCAACGCAACCGACACCAACCAAGTATTCTGTACTTAGTAGTTCTGATCTTCTTTTGACAGATGCTTCAAATGCAGCAATTTCCAATAACTTAGTCACGTTGAGTAATAGTTCCACGGCAGTCAATATCTTTGTAGCAAATCAGGTTGGATTGTACTTTCTTGTCTTGGTAGAGGTTTCGAGCGCTTTCACAAAATCTATCTTTCTTGGAGCTACCGCATTGCAAACTCCTTTTTCGATCAATGCTGGCAACGTGAACATTTCTTATGGGTCAAGCAAGCTAGTTTTGCCACCGACCGATCCTCAGGTTCTTTTGCTTGATGCAGTAGGATCGAATGATACCAAGAGTTCATCTGGCCTCCCCTTGCCTTTGTACGTCCAATTTCAGACTTCAGACTATCAAATTCTTGATAATGCAAAATGTGTGCAGTGTGTTCAAGCGAGACTTGTAAAATGTTCCAACAGTGTACCAACACAATTCTTTGTTGAACAGGATTGCACCGCTGTGAACCAAGCTCAATGTGCTACTTCTAATCAGGATGGCTCCAAGTGTGCCTCCGCTGGATACACGTCAAGTAATTCTTTCCTTGATACTCTTGGTGGAACCACTATTGCAAACTTAGAGAATGGAACAGCAGTCTTTACAGACTTGGCGGTGCATTTTGTGGCAGGATACGGGTACAAACTGCAGTTCACTCTGAATGCCGGTGGACGATATACAACGAGCTCTGTTGTAGCAAGCAGCCAATCTCAAAATGGTCAGATATTTGTACCCTCTGTTGGTAGTTTCTTTGTGAGACCCTATAACTTAAATATCTTACAAGAAATTGGCGGAGATGGGGTTGACATTAATGGTGACTATGTTCCGGATGGAGTTGGAGTTGGAATTCCTTTCAGAGTGCAACCAGCTGTTACAATTGCTGGGAACGGGTATTCATTTGATAAGAATTGGGGTCAGCATGGTTGGCTTCCAATTCGTAGCCAAATAGTATCATCATCATGCGGTGGAGATTGCTCAAAATATAACATGACTTTGTATGGTTCTTCAACAGGCGCGTCCACTTATGAGTCAGAATTCCTGATGTGGTCGTCATATTCTGGATTTATTGGCAGTCCAAATCGGAATGTCCGCTTGGCTTACGACTCCAGCATAGGAAATGTTGGCTTGCTTTGGCAGGATCTGACCATAAAGAATGCCCAACAACAAGCCGTTCTGAATGTTTTGCTTTCGTTTGCGTGTGGACCAAGCACGAACATCAGCTCGATTTCAACTACGTCTACAATGATTACATATTTTGATTTATTTTCTGCTCCATCACCACCATCTAACCTCAAGGTATCTGATTATGGATCTCTTGGATTTCGGGTAGAATTTGACCCAGGGTTGATATCGCGCGAAGCGCCTTTATCAGGATTTCTGTTGGAATTTGATGTTTGTCAACAGGAAAAGGATGTTTCCTGTTCAACAGTTGAAAATCAATTTTATTCTGGTCTCGGATTTTCAACTCCAGTGACCTCAGTGCTTGGGTCCGGATTAGATCTTGGTGGAGGTTACACCCAAGAGGCATTTATCATTGTTGACAGCTCAACTTCAACAGATAATGTGACAATCTCTGCTGTAAATGTGACCATGGGAATCCAGAGAACCATCTATCCCGGTGACCAGCTGGTTTTTAGTTTTGCTTCACTGCAATCAAAACTATTGGCTTCCTTCAATCCCAATTGCACATTGCAAGGAGTTGATTCTCAAAAATTCAAAATTTCGTCTTATAATTCTACTACTTCGGTCATTGTTTTGACTATCCAGGACGGATTCTATCTTGTTTGGGGTAGCATGGTTCAATTTCAATTTCCCGATACGTGTATGATATCTGGAATGCCATCTCCTCCTTTTGGGCAGACACTTTTGCAAATCCCAGTCATTGGTGTAAATTCCCAGGTGCAATTTGACAACTGCAAAGGCAATAGTTCGTGTCTAGCTGCTAAGACTGTAATGTTACCTTCGATTCAAGATGCCAATTCGATGGATTTGGACTGGAGTGGGCAACTGCAGTATGGTTCTACTGGTGCTCCTTGTGCAACAACTTTGGCTTCAACCTCGAGTTACATGTTTCCATCTAATAGAATTTGCTCCACTGGTGACAGTGGGAGCAATGGGCGTCCGGTAGGATTTTCCTTTGCTTCCTCCGCAAGAACTTCTGGAAGTCAGTTCATGGATTCGAATGCTGCATGTCGAAGTTCTCAAGCACAATCCAATCCATGCACGTTGTCTATTGGTCAATCATGGACTGTCGGGATTGAAATTATGTATCACTGGAATGGATACGTTACGAATCAGTCAATATGGGAAGATCCTCAAATTGAGCTGTGGTTTACCACGGAGCAAGGAATCTTTGTTGGTGACATACTTCGATTTACCATACCAAGCCTCGTCCAGCAACAGCCCTCTGCATCAGGGACTTGCTATACCTTTCACGAGGCAGGGAGTCAACAAATTGGATTCAACACTATTTATCAAAATGCAAGCTTTCCTAACTCCTCGTTTCTATCAGAGTGTGAAATTTTCAAAACCGAGGTGACCTTTGACTACGGAAATGTGCTCCAGCAGAACTGGGAAACTCATTTTGACAACAAAGCAAGTACATTTCAGATCTATGTGGGTTCGCCCGTTCTCCCGGGGGCAATGATGAATGTCAAAATCAATGGATTTCGTAACACACAGGCAATGAATTACAGCCAGAATGCGATCGGTGAGGTGATTCGAGGTAAGAGAACAACTTTAGTATTGAGTCAGAATTCGATAAAAGCTAGTTACAGCTCAATCTCAGGAAATCCAATCAATGGATACACCGAGTCCAGAAGCCAGGATTTGAATCTTGGAGATATTGTTTCATTTCGGATTTATGCCTACAACGGCAGATTCAAAAGTGCACCAATATCGTCCTTTGTTCAAAACAGAGCAATACAGCCACCATTGGCCCCTGCATATTTTCCAAACATGGAACAGATTATTGCTGCAGTAAATCTAACAGTAACCAACTTGGCTTCAACACAATCCTCAAGTCCATATCCAGGTTATGCTCCACCTGTCATTCCGATTGTGGGACAAGCTACAAGAATCGGTCTTCAAATCACACCTGAATTTGACATCTTTGAGAACCATTCCATCTCAATCAATTTGCCCGGTTTTGTGGGACAAGACTATTACGAAGTTCCTTTGTCGTATGTGATGATGGACAAGTACGCGGCTTCAGGAACGCCAGGTTGCGCCTGTGATTCCAATGGGGGCATCATAACACCTCGCAATGTCTACACGTTGGTCGCTGAAGCCTCTGGCCCTGAAGCATGCAACTGGACTGACACCAATTCATCACGTCCAGCTTGTGCATGTGGCGAGTGCTCCTGTGCTCTGGATGGTTCTGTTTATGTACCACCCGATGTCTACAATGCCACTGGCAATTGCACTGAATGTGCTTGCAATGGTGCTACCCCTGAGATAGTTACCAGAAATCCTACATATCCGAATGAAAGCTGTACATGCTCTTGCGTTCTACAGAGGAGGTGTTCGTGCTCTTGCTCTGTTTCACAGTCCTTTTCATGCACTTGTTTACAAAACTACACTTCATCCTTGTTTCAAAGGGTACTATGGTCACAATATTCTGAAAGTCTTGTGATGACGGTAGCACAAGGAACGATCCTCAGGAAGGGAGTCAAATACACAGTTTGGATTAGCAAAGATGCAGGAATACTTTTTCCATTAGCAGGTACTTCTTCATACCCACAGAGTACGAAGGGCGAAATTTTACTGCAAGGCTACGTCAACTCATATCATCTTCGTTGGGTCACTCCATTTCCTGAGGTGAACAATCCTCGATTGGGGTATGTCATTCAGATGACAACAGATAATTATTGGAGAAGTGATATTCAAACTGTTGTCTTCCGAGAAAGCTTGAGCAGAGGGCCTTTGGATAAGTTTCCGGTTGGGTATCTCCTTCAAGATATTTCATCTACGGAGACCACGTTTAGGATCTCGACTAGCTATGACTTGTACCCTGGCAGCCAAATTCTAATTGATACTGAATTCATGCAAGTATTAAGTAGCAACACAACATACGTGGATGTTATTCGAGGAATTCGATCATCCATGCCTATTGCACATCTTTCAGCATCCAGCCCAGGCTGTACTTGTCTGCAAAATGGAAGTGCAACTGGAGCAGCAAACTGCAAGTGCACAGAAATTTACAAGGTCAGGATCGGAGCGACAGATGTTGCCACAGGTAATGATGGGCTTGATTTCAAAGCAGGGACGGCAGATTGCCATCTTGCAGATGTGCAATCATCTTGGCCATGCAATCCTCTGAAATATGTCTTCCCATACAACGCTCGAACTCATCAAGTTGCAATTATCAACCAAGGAGATCGAAATGTTCAATTTGTCGGAGCCTGCGGCGCTTCATCAAGTACTTGCAGCACAAATTGTGTTTGCAATAGACCGTCGCTTGTCAAGGGTGCAGAATTCATGAACCCTCAAGTTCTTGGCAACATCACCATTGCATCTACTGGCGATCCTTTGTCTTACCCCACGGAGGGAAGGAGTCAGCTTGTTTTGAGTTTAACAGTAGACAATGATGTATTGGCATTGTCAAGTTTGCAAAAAATCGTTGGAAACTTCATTCGTGTAGACAATGAAATCATGTTTGTGAAGTACCGACCAAATCAAGGTCGAGGAATAATTGCTGTGAATGTCTTCAAGTCGATCGGAGGTCGTGCTTGTTCTTGCTCTTTCAATGGCACGGTTTCTGGGCCGTCATACTGTTTGTGTTCTGGAGGCCCTGGAGAAAACTGCACTAATGGTGGAACGCTGGGCGCTGCTGGTTCAGGAAGTGGTTTCTCCGCCACCTTCACTGTTTCAGGTGGCAAGATATCTGGGATCACAGTAACAAATCCAGGCGTTGACTATGGCTCCGATCCCTCCATTTACATAGCATCAGGAGGAGATGGTTGCGTTAATTATAATCTGTTTCCAGTTACCAGCAACTTTGTCCTCAAAGTGACAAGAGGTTCTCTGTATACAGTCCCTGCTTCTCATGCTGCTGATGCTTCTGTGGGACTCGTCCTTTGGCCGTCTCAAGTTGTCAGAAATCAGGCTGGGTTTCGATACAATTTCCGTATTGCTGCCTTCAATGCCGCTGGCTTCAGTGCTTGGATTTACTTCGATCTGAAGTTGTTCTCGGTGTCTTCCAGGGTTCTTGCTGCTTCTGGAAATCAAAGGATCCAAATCTCTCTGATTGGTGGAGGCGTTACATTGTACAACCCGGGCTATGAAGTTTGGATAGGCCAAACTTCGCAAGATGGATTGACAGTTGATTTCCAGAATTCGAAACAATGCACATCTGTGCTGATTTTAGATGATGCAGGAACTAAGCTGAAGTGCACTACACCGAGTGGGGTTGGGAGTGGGCTCGACTTGATTGTACTCTATCGTAGCGGTGCCTTCTCACAGATTGCTGTTGGATCCCGATGGATGCGATATCAGCCACCACAGGTTAGCCAAGTCCTGCCTGCTCTGGTTTCTCCAGGAAGCATCACAGTCACCGTGTACGGGACAAACTTCGGACCTTCTGGCAGTGACGTCTCTGGTGTGTTGAAAGCGTCCACTGAGATTCCATGCAAACCTCTTGTCCTCAAATCTGACAGTCAAATTCTTTGCACGCTCAATTTACCTAGCGGATTTTCTTCTTCTGGCAATTTGATCGTAACAGCGGGAAAACAATCATCCCAGCCTTCAAAAACATCAACCGTCGCTCCACTACCAGGTCCGGTTGCTGTTTCCGCAACTATTCAAGCGGATTTCAACCAAATCACATCAAACCCTGTCGTTGAAACTCAGTTTAAGATCAATTTTGTCAAGGACGTTTCCAGCGCTCTGAAAATTCCCGCCGCTAGATTGAACATTACACAGCTAAAATCAGGCAGCGTGATTGTTTTCTTCAACATTCTGCCAGATCTTCAATCAGCACTATCTTCATCTCCTGCAGCCCTAGCACTGGAATTGTCTGCTCAAGCTTCGGATCCAAATTCTCCATTGAGGCAGGGAAATTTGACCTCCGGGGCTGTTTTCTCGGTTCCTTCTGGTCTCGAGCAACTTGTCAGTAATACTTCAAACGCTACCAATGCCGTTCCTTCGTACTTCAGCTCTTGTCTGCTTCGCAGCTATCAGTACTGGGACATGGAGATTTGTTTCGATTGCTGCACTTATGCTTGTGAGGTCGGACCTGAGATACCGGTGGTGAATGGTTGGCAGGTGTTGCCAGGTTTTCGTGCCGAGGTTTGTCAAAGTTTGTGTCTCGAGCACTGTGGTTATGCCAGGCCAATAACCGTGTGAGGATAGCAAGTGGGTGAAGATCTAGAATCAGGGGAGTGCAATCTTAAGCGTGCGATATATCATCATCAATAAAGTCACATCTCTATATGAACTCCTTGCGTGTTTTCATATCCAGCATGGTGAGCGCTGATGTTGGTCTCCTCCGATCGAGGCCTCTCGTAGTTTTTGCAGACACCAGCGCTGAGTTTGGCCTCTGCACTTGAGTGACCTCAAATTTCCTAGTTCCTGTCACCTCCAAGGAATGTCGATTCAATGATGCCTGAGGTGAGCTCCCTTTGATCTCATGCTCCTCAACGTCGATGCTGGATTGAGACTGAATGTCTGCTGTGCTCGATCCTTGGCTGCAGACTTGGCGGGTGACGTTGCTAATCTCAAGCTCAATGATGGCTTTGTGAAGTTGTTTCCGATTCTTCTTGATGTCTTCAACGAATCCTTCCTGCTGTCCTTCAAAGATGTTGATGATGGGAGAGCTGGTTTGATAGCTTGAGTCTGATGGAAGTTCCAGTTCGGTCAGTCTCCTCATAAGATATTCCCTAATTTCTTTCATCACGTTCAAAGATCTGCTCTCTGAGATTCTTTTTTCGATTTCTAACTCCACTCCTCTTATCGCGTATGTCCCAGCCAATGCTTTTTGCCTTGCTTCCTCCAATTCCCGTTTCAAGCTTTCGATTTCTTGAATATTTTCTTTGACGGTTGATTCTAAATTTGATATCTCCTGGGACAAAGCCAATCGCTTCCTTGTTTCTTTTTCTTTTGCAAATTTTTCATCCTTGTAAGCCCTTGTCATTTTCTCCAGATCTTTTTCTAGCTCTCTATACTTTTGCAACTCCATGTTTGCTTGCTTCAATGATTGTTCCATTCGATTGTTCTGATATTGCAAACTTTCAATCTCCTGATTCACGGTCTCCATTCTTTTGTTGAGTACTTTGTTTTCCTGTTTAGCTGCTTTGAGCTCAGTTTCCGCCTTTTGTCGCTTCCTAAATTCTTTGTCTTTGTCTCGTTCAGATCTTCTGTAATTCATGTGCGTCTTAGAGTAAAGGGCATCAAGTTCCTGTTTGTCCTGGGCAAGAGCTCGCTTCTCTGTTGTGAGCAGATGTATTTCGCTTTCCTTTTTTTGGATTTCGTTTTCTAGTTTTTTGTGTGTTCTCGTCAAAGATGAGATATGATCGTTGAGGTACTGTACATGCTTGATCAAGTCATAGTCTCCTTCTGCTAACTTCTTGTTCGCTTGGTTCAATTTGTCTTCCATCTCGCTGAGAGACTTGGTCCAAGATTTCCTCTCGTGCTCGAACTCTTGCTCCATGATCTCCTTCTGCTCCCGTCGAGCTTCTCGCACTTCTCCAATGAACTTCTCTTGCAGCTCTTTGGTGTACTTCTCTTGCTCCAGCTGCAAGAGGTACGTCTTTTCGTTGATTTGGATTTCTGCTGACTTGTGCGCAAGTTCCACTTCGTTCATGTGCTGCTTCAATATTCTCTCGCGAGCATTAGCCAGCCCTCGAGGGTCGATTCCTACCTTAGTGATGTACATGACCCTCATGAGGTTGTTTGCAAAGTTTCTGTTCAGACGCGACAAGGCATTCATTTTGTCTGCGAAAAGGAATGAGGCATCTGCAGACACAGCAACGAGACTTTCACCTGCGATGTTCTTCAAGGCTGACTCATCTTCCTTCAAGACAGCACGGCAAACTTCCACGACTTCATCTTTGACGATTCCGATCTCCTTCTCGTGAAACTCGATGTGCTGCCTGATAACCTGAGCGACGTTTCCCTCAACATCATCCCATAGCATGCTCCAGGACGAGGCATACGTGTCGTCCGTCTCAACGTCTTTGCTTTCTCTGTTCGATAAAGATTGTTTCCACCGCCTCCTCAGTTTTCGATTCTGTTCGACATGTCGAGATGTTCCTACAGGCCTTCAATGCTCGTCAGAAGCCTCGCTGGCTCGCCTCCTCTTGCTGTGACACTCTCCCATGGCCCTCCCCGTCGATACCTCGGGGGAGGGAGGGTTTGTTGTTAGGTCCCTCCAAAAAGTCACTTGACTGAAAATCGGAACAAGTTTCGATGCGGAGGAGGAAGGGGAGAGAAGAACTGAGACGAGGAGGAAGGGAAGAGACGATGAGACTTTTCACCAGATCATATTCATTAGAAGAAGTTGTTTACAGAAGGTTTCATCATTCTAGGTCATCAACTGATCTATATTTCCAACTCGGATCGAATTCTGCCAGCATGGAGCGTGAGACAAGCAAGAAATACACTTGTGTCACCTGGGTCGTCTCGAGAGACGCCAGAGAGACCCTTTGGGATCGGGGTGAGACCTGGAAACAAGGTTGGAGCAAGAGTTCTTTGCCAAGGGTCCTGCAAAGGAGTGAACAGAATGCAAAGTTTCGACACTCAACTCTCCGACTCTTGTCCTACCTGCAGGTGCGTCACTCCTGTAATTCCATATTTGCTCCCCGGCTCCCATCGAAATTCCATCTGCTGCTGTGATCACAAGCTCGAAACAAACCTCACAGGAAGGACCTCCTTCATCTTGGCTTTCTTGATGCTCAGCTGCGATACGCTTGTGGTCCAGGGGTCATGTAGGACCTGATGACTTGCAATCAACGAAAGAGCTATGGAAGACAGTCGTTACCAGAGATGGAGGAGTCACAACCTCAAAGCATAGGCAGTTCAATGTTGGATGTTTCGCTAGTGATCGCGGTAGTGTTGGCCCTGAGAATGATTCATCAGCTTCATCAAACTTTGAGTATATTGAATCTTCTACCTATTCCATTGCCCGATAGGTTCAGTTTCTTCAAAGTTGTGTTTTCTTTCAGATATTTTCCCAATGATGATGCTCCCTCATTGCCTATATCGTTTTCATGAAGATCAAGTACCTTGTGAGCAGGTTGTCAGGATACGTAAGAGAACAGTTGTCATTCTCACTGTCAAGGTAGTGTTGAATTGTAGTGCTTTTGCAAGCTCAGTAGCTCCTTCCTTTCTGATGCCATTATTGTGTAACCACAGAGACAAGCAATCCGTGTTCTTCTTCAATTCATTTGCGACTAGCTTGGCACCATCATTCCCTATGTTTTTTCCATGCATGTAGATTTCTTGTCGTCCTCGAGTCATAGGGATTTTCTGAGGGCCTGTGAAATCATTATCACTTGAAGTCTCAAGATATCTGTGTACCAGGAAGATATTGCAAGTTCCCCTCATCGTCAAATACTTTGGTTCCTCCGGATCTGAACGGAGCCCTCACAAAGTTCTCGAGCTCGATTACGTCCCATTCCGCTGGAGAATTCTTCTTGCCCGCCATTTGATCCTTCTTGTTGTTACCTCACGAATTTGGTTTGTGAAATCTTCGTTGAGTCTACAGAAGTCACTCTACAACATTCCTGTAGTTTCAGTGTCATTTGCTGTATGCGTGTGTATGCTTGGAGACATTGACACGTCGAATCAAATGATTGCAGTTTCGCAGCAATCTTCATTCTCACCTCTCTGACTTCGTGCCCCGTGTGTTTCTCAGTGTTTCATCTCAGTCAGTGGCATGCCCCCTCTTCTTTCCTTCTTTCCCTCCCCCGCCCTGCATCTGGTCGCTTTCTCCACCAACGGCCTTCCTTCGTTACTACGGTTTCTTACGGTTTCAGACGGTTGTATTGGTAGTAACTCAACGGATAAATAACCGTTTTCTTCGCCTCTCTATGACCCTTCACGGTCTCTTGCCCTTTCAGTACCCCCATCATCCCCACCCTCCCATCCGACCGTCTGATGACCCGGTACCTTCACACCCTACCCCAGGTTCGGGAGAAGGGCCTACACACTACAAAACCACCGGGTGGTATGAGTCTAGGTGATACGGGTGTAATAGAGGCTAACGGAGGGGTACTGTGAAGATACTTGGGGTACTGAGGGAAGGGGTAGGGTAGATATCTTATGGGGGTCTACTGCCAAGAGCCACGAGGGCGAAAAATGTAAGTGAACAAGAAGACCGTGGGCGAACGAAGACATTGAAGAGAAGGGGTGAAAAGTGAGGAACATGGATCTGCCCGAACAAAGAGCGGTGTGCTCACTTGGTGTGTTGATCTCAAGTGGAGAAAATATTCAGAGAACACAGAAGAAAAGAGCAGGCAAGAATGCAAGGCCAATCATTGACGTTCAGAGGAAAAAGATGCGTTAAAGATAAGGGGCAGAGAGGTTCTTCGGACAAGAGTAGACAGGTGTTCAAAGAGATATGTGGGGCTCTGGTGGCATCTTAGGTTGACAGGGTAGATACCAAATATCCTGATGCCATGAAAACATTGCTTGTTGCGATCATTTTCTCTTTGTCAAACGATTAATTGTTGCACTGTTATCGCAACACGAATCTTTGACATTTGAAGTGGTATACTGACTGAACCATACAGGATTTCCAAGCTCTTTCAAAAGCTTGACATTCTGGTATGTTGGAAAGATTCTTAATTTGATGAGCTCTTTCAAAGAACTAGGAATTCATATTCTGATATGTTCGCTTCAGAGCGGCACCGGGCTCCAGGATACAAGCGGCGTCTACTACAACCCTTTCGACGACGGTGCACCAGGAACCGAGTACATCCAGAATGTGTCTGATCTCCCTCAGTGTAAGTCTTTTCTTCATCGCGCGTTCTTAATGCTCATGGGCCTGTGATGAGAATGTGCAAATTTCTATTCCTGATTCTCTCTCAACAGACACCTGGACTGGCGGTCAGCCGGATGACTATGGGGCTTCTGACATGGTGACTGAAACCCTTGTGCGCTGCCGTGCCTTTGAATGACCTTGTGCACCAGATCACTCCCGAGACCCTCACAATGTAAACATGCTTCGCTCGGATGCGATTTGAGCATCGTGCGCGAGTCAAGTGTTGTTCTGCCGACTCGTTGGTGTCATATAAATTCACATGCAAACGAGTGACTTTCTACCTCTCTTTCTTCTCGTCGACTTCTCGATTCTGCTCGGTCGCACTTCTTTTCTGCCTCTTGTCGATATCCCCTTGGCGCGTCCGGTCTTCCCTCCATCAGCCTTGAACTGCGGTGAACGCTGAAAGAATCCACAAGGAGTATTGGCACTTTATGTGTCAAACCTTCGAGATCGAAATAACATGTAGCAGCTCTGATAGGCGTCGTTGAAGAGAGTAGAGTATAAAATTCCGCCATACATACACGCCATTTTGAAAGAGTCTTTTTTTTTCCCCACTGACACACTCCTCCCCTCCCCGCCTCATCCACTGGCCCACCGGCTCCCCCCACTCCCCTGTGCGCCGTCGTCTCTCTTGCTTGTCTCCTTCATAGGATCTTTGCCTTCACACCTCTCTGGCACAACGACGCGAACGTGTCTGTTGTTGTGTATCGTGTTCCTCGGAGTACAAAACGTCTTGCTCCTTCACTTTGATCTCAAGCATGAGAAACCTCATCCCCAAGAAGCCCTGAAGCATGAACTGAGCAAGGGACATGCACCTACGGGATTGGCGACGAATTTGTCCCGCACCAAACCAACGGGGTTTCCATTCACCAAGTTCAGTGAGAAACAAAATGTGACATCTGTACACCCGAAAAAACCTTCAAAGCTGCCCATCTCGCCTGAGAACGGACGCGAGATACCGACATGTAATGGGTCTTACATGGGAGAGAAGCCTTGCTCCTTGTTGAAGAAGAATGTAACAACACCCTTCCATTGTTTCAAGGTGGATCAGCCTTGCAGTTGTTGTTCGGTTTGATGAAAGTCATTTTGCAGCTCAAGAAGTTTTTGTTGTATGAAAAGAATTCATCGTCACCTGTTCCATGTGAAATGAGCACTACATTGTATGGAAATCATCTGATAGAAATAACTGCAGGGTGTTTGGGAGGCAAAGAAAGTTGGAACACGTGCAGTCATGGCCGCTTCCTCTGCGAAGAGAAACTTACAACCCCAAACGGTGTTAACTGATTACATCATAACATGCTTAAGGCTGAATGAGTTTCTTGTTTCTTCTTTTTTGCAAGGTCTGGTCGGAATAATTTCTACTATCCTGGTCATCAGTCTGCGTGAGAAATCTCAGAGGTAACTTTCGGCCCCCTAGACCTGTGTTTTCTCTTTTAATTGCGAACCTCATCTTTCAGGATGATGCAGATCAGATCTCAGATCGAAAGGCTTGGGCTTCCTCCTCCAGTGCGACATCAGGCTTTCGTCTCGTTGCTCAATGCAGGTCAACTCTGCTCCAGGTTACTAGCATTTCTTATCAGGCTGCAGGGCGAGGAGAGTTAGACTCGTCACCTGCTGATCTCTCAGTGAACGATCTCAACATGGGGATCGGGGAGTTCTTCACGCCCGCGTTTCAGTTTCGAGGAGGGAAGGGTAAGGTGAAGCGCGGAGACCTCTCTGTCGCCATGTCCCACCTGCTTGCATGGCGGTCAGTGGCGCAGGGGAATCATTGTTTGCATCCTCCGTCGAGATCCTCTGACGACTGCTGGGTGTTGATCCTGGAGGATGACGTCAAGCTGAACATTCCTGATACTTGTCTGCTGCGAGGAGGAGGGCAAACGAGAATCAAGCTCGACCCTCTCCCTCCGGACGCGGACATGGTCCTCCTCTTCCCATCACGGCTGATCAAACAAGACTGCTCGTCACACCCATCATGCGAAATGTTCAGCGAGGTGAGCGACGGGTCTGGCCTGATTGGCTACGTGGTTTCACGGCGATCTGCCAAGAAGCTTGTCCGCGTCTTTGAGGTAAAAATGTTGTGCTTCGTCAGGAGCTTAGTATTTGCCATTGCTAGCAAGTGAAGCTGAGGATGCCGATCGACCTGCAGATCTACAAGCTACCGGGCATCTCTGTCTTCGCATCCAAGGCTGACTGGATTCTCCATCAGGACAACATCCCGTCTGATCGGATCGCCCAGAATGGACTTGCTGAGTGAGAACCCTGTTGGAAGGGGAGAAGGGACAAGGGACAAGGGCAAAGCAGAGAGCAGTGAAGAGTGTGACGAGACTGATCAGCGAACATTGGCTTTAATGAGAACCGGTGATGAATGTGACCCCAACACCAAGCTAGATGTTAACAATCATGTACAAAGATCTAAGGATTCTTGTTGACGAAATAAAAACAAGATGATCAAACGACATGCGGCATTCACAACGATTCGCTCCTACTCTGTCGGTCGGTGCTCTCTTTGGTTGGATGCCTTGCAACTGGGTGCCCGAACTGACTGCCTGACATGTGTACGAGCTGAAGCCATGCTCGAAAGTCAGGATCCGCAGGATCTCCATTCATGGGATTTTCGCATCTTCCATCGGAGCTTCTGTCTAGCGCGAGAGCTTCAGTCTGATGATTCCCCTCAGAGGGAGTCGATTCTGAACTGTTGACCACGAATGTCTTGGGAGACACGTAAGGATGCCGGCGACCGATTCTACACCCGGTCAACACGTTCTGTATTGTCGTCACCCACTCCGCTGCCTGCGTGTCACATACCGCGCGCACATGCAGATTAATTCTTGACTGATTTCTTGGGAGGTGAACAATAAACGAGGTCTTATCAACGATCTCCACATCGGCTTTTGAGAAATTGTCGTACAGCCAAAAGCTCCTTCCATCTCTGAGCGATGTGTCCTTATAGTAAGCAATCTTCGAGTTCGTTACCAGGAACCAGCGTTTGCGCCAACCCAGGTTGCTAGTTTTGCGTCTGAGCCATCCAGACAAGATGATCTCCTCTTCGTCGGCCATGCTTGATGATTAGGTGGTAAGCGAAGTAGAAAAATATGAAATAAAACAGGAAGCTGCTCAGCCAAGGAATTTATCTAGGGAATCCCAGAGTCCCAAAAATCAAAACTTTTCACAGTAAATGAAGTTCAGAAAAGTGTCTGTCTCGAGCTCAGCGTAAGAACAAAGTGTACTGAGTATCGAGGCAAATGTAAACTCCAAATCTCTCTGAGCAGGTGAAGGTGCGTGAAAGTTATACAAGAGCTTGCTGCACTGGAAGCCAGAGCGATTGAGAGAGGGTTGATGAAAGAATTAGATTCAAAGAGGAGGAGAAGGAAAGGAAATGAATCGACAACGAGCCAGAGGATAGATTTCTTCAGTTCATCTTTTTGCGATCAGCATGAAGCCCAACCTGGGGTAGGGTGAACGGGTTGTTAGGGGTATAGGGGTTCTCGTGAATCGGGGGTGGGGGTAGAAAATGTGTGTACCAAGTCATTAGTTTGCTGTGCAAAATGGAGGGGTACTTCATAGAACTGCCAAAAAAGACACTGGTGGGTAGGGTAGAGAAATCAGGTACAAAAGACTCTAAAAAGAGATGGGTTCTCTTCTCCTGACGGGAAGGGCAGTCTAAACCAGGGTGGGTAGTAGAATGGAGTGGTCAGTATCGTAAAATCTGGCACTAAAACCTGGAAGAAAGGGGTAGGGGTAGAACAGCGTTTGAATCGTTGCCCGTGGGGTACTAGTG